AAAAGTATATCCTTAATAATTGCCCCGAAACACTTCGTTAAAAATATTTTAAACATTGCTTGTACTAGATAGAAACCTTTACTTACAGTATATTTAAGTTTTGAACAATAATAAAATCCGTAAGCAAATGGTTGGAAAGTCTATCAAGCTGAAGAGCAGAAGATATTTATTTGCGGGTTAAYAGGATGTATACTTGATACCAATGGCATGGYAAATAGACAATAGTTAAGTTATGAGTAACGGCTAGTCATGRAAAAAACGAAGATTTCACGCTGGGTTTGCGGATATGAAACAGTACGTTCAATGTTGATCTAGTATTGTTCACTGTAAATAGTTTAAACATTTCAGATCGGGAAGATTGGCGATAATTTAGGGTAAATATGCACAGTTGAAGAATCATCGACTTATTAGTCAAATGAAATTTTAATCTATTAAAATCTCTTGATCCGTCGGTATATATACCTCATTTTAAACTTGGAAAAATTGCCCATTAATCGATGAAAGATTTCTAAACAAAATTTGGTCATGGGAAAATTGGAGATTTCAAGCTGAGTTTAGCGGATATRAGACAATGCCAAACGATCACTGGGATTGRACCATTTTTGTARACGTAAAGAATTTTTACCTAATATTGGAAACATTTTTTATGACCGGAAAAGTAATAATATATTTAGGTWCTACCTATTTACAAAAGAATCCATCATGTGCTGATTGCATGATTCASCMATCTTTAACGAAACSCGGTGGTYACGTATTACACCTGTGGTTTTTACGAATAATATTTACTCAATATAATTTTTTTCTCATTCTAAAYTGTTTGTCTAAAGCGAACATCCCCCGTTGTTCACTTTGTCTATGCAATAAAATTGTAATCCGACATTTTTCCGGTAAAATTTACACAGGATGCATAAAATATTTATTATTTATTTCCGTGCAAATGGCACTAATCAAACACAATAACAATTTAATTTTTACACGACACCCGACACACGACACTGTACTAAATAGCGCCTAGAAGTCGCCTCTTGATATTTACCTGCCAAATTTCATTAAGGTTTGCAAGCAGTCACTTCCTTTCAGCACAGATAAAATAGTCGTGTGGTTTTGCTAGGTGTGACCCTCTTAAGTTTTAATGTATGAATTCCGGAAGATGGTGCAAATTGTCGGCAAAATGGCAATATTCTCAGCCCAAAGCTCAAAGTTAAAGTTATTACTTTCCTTACTGCAAAGGTGGATTTAATTTAGTTTTTAAATTGAAGGTTTTTGATTTTTGTAAAAAAATGTCATGCTATTTGTTTGTGAAATGAACTAAGCAAATTACTATACTTTGTAATTCTAGGACGCCACTGACTTGAACATTGGTTTGAAATATTGTGGGAATCGTGGCGACAAACCAATCGACAAAAATTGAGGCAAATTGGTTCGTGGCTTTACCTGAATATTGTTTTTCACAAATAGGCTGTGATTTCGCCCCTTTACCCGCTAAAACTGCGCCAAACCGCAAACAAACGATTTCAGAATGAATGAGGGGCTATTTCCTTGAAGGCGCCTAGTATTTTCTCATCTTGAATGGACCTATCAACTTGAGAAACTGCCTTTGCTACCACAACAAAATTAGTTCACACGTCGATAAATGTGTCTAGTGTTTAATTCACACCTTTTATTGTTAAGCAGACCATTAGCAGTAGAATGCCGGAAAATAATTGAACTGTTCAGGTTTATGAAACGCTTGTGTAAATTGTGACTAGTTGATTCAAATCATGATTTTGCCATTCAGCATTTACGTGCTTCTCTGAGTTCATTTTCAGGTCATTTAATTCCACATGTTCAAGGTGTTACTTTTGCCAGGAACCTGAACAGGAACTGAGAGAATTAATTCCTTATTGTTGTATTTCTTAATTCTTCTTTTAGATTTTATTTTCGATTGACCTGGATCGATTCTTTGATTATTTAGTTTCTTGTTGTTGCGATCAAACTGTGACGTGTCTTGGTCTTGCAAGTCAATTGCAGTCTTGGTGTTGGTCTTGGTCTTGGTCTTGCAGCAAGACCCTTACAAGTCGTGCTTTTGTATAAGCCGTTAAATTAGACGGAATTAATTTAGTAATAACAATAATAGTAATTAAACAAAAAGATGATAAGTTTTAATAAGTTAAATTATTATGTAAGTCAAAATTGTTGACAGGTACTTTTTCATTGTCTCTTGAAACCGGGAAGATCTTCATCCAGAGAAATTGAACATATTTTTATGGAGTGTAATTTACATATTCTAACGAAAGTACAACAACAGTAAGCTGTAGATATTTAAATATTTTGAATGGGCTTACAGGATTTTACTGATAGAAAACAAACTCAGTTATTAATAATGCACATAATTCGTGCAAGGATTAAATTATATTACTGTTTATACAACAACTGTATGTAAGGACTCTGGCAAGGGCCAGTCGAAAAATCATTATTACAGTGTAGACTGTAAACTGTTCATCCAAATTTATTTTCTACTTTTTTAATATTTTCTAGAATGTGCATAATAAAGACATTAATTAACTAATACAATTTGAAATTTAAATTCACCAAAAACTGGAGCAAAAATAAAAAGTAATTTTCTACATCGAACTACATATAAATAATATGATACAAATGATTGCAATCTTTTAAAATTGTGGATGACCAAGAGCTTAAACAGAGTAACCAACACGCTCATTTCCGATAGTCGCTAGCGATAATTTCTAATACATAATTAAAGATGCTTTTGAAAAAAGTCTTGTCCGCTGGAACTGAAGTTTCCGCTGGAACTGAGGAACGACATTCATATCTAAACTATTCGTGATTTTGCTATTGTATTTGTTCGGATAGCAGTCTGTTTCCATAGAAAATCATGTAGAGTGTAAAATATATTCACTTCAATAGTACCTATTTCGTCTTAGATGGGTATTGAGCAAAACTAATTAAACGTTAGCAAATGATAAATAGATATTAAAGAAAGATAAATCGACATTAAGGAAATTATAAATAAATACTAGAAAATGTAAATATATATTCAGCCAGAGTCAAAAGGTTTATGAGACAAACTTAGCTTGTATTTGGACAAACAGAAGGGCACAAACGCTAATTATGTCGATTAATAAGCAATTTTACGTAGAAAATATCTCCAACTAACTAACTTGATTTTGCAAATATTTATACTGCCTACCCCTGATTTAGCTAATCTGAAAGAAAAGGAAAAATATGTGGAATCAAGCACATTTTAAGTACGTTTTGTTTTATTTATGTCACTTGTTCAGAGCTTTAGTTTCTAATTTAAGGTTTTCGGTTAAGCTTTTAAAACAGTCCATTTTTCTTATTCATCATATTTAAAGGCTACGAGGCCAGATTAATGCGGTTCAGTTCCTTCAAGAATCGTCATCCTTACAAATATTTGATTTATTCTTTTCGACAATAACCTGTCGTTATCGAAAACCTTTTGGGTAATTTGAAGCCCAAAAACCCGTAGAATAAATCGGAAATTGGAATTGTTCCAAGGTTCCAATTCCAATTCAAAGCATTGTGTTCTTAGTCAACGTTTAAATATTTTCTTGCATCTTACCACGAATTGCCTTTTTAAATATTTAAATCTTGATACGTTTTAACCTGTTAACCGAAATAACGCATTTTAGTGTGTTTATTTCGATATCAATAAACACACTACTATCACGATGTTAAATTGTTTCCAGATACATACTAAACTTGTTTTATTAGTTATTTTTTAAAAGTTGGTAGGAGAAATCTGTGTTTTTCGATAATCTTTGATCGTGACAGAAGAAAAACTATTAATAAATTTTAATTCAGCACTAATCAGCCCAGCAAAAAAACAGAAAGAATCGAACTTAGGCGCTGCAGCGTCTAGGAAAATAATTATTTTCCCTGAAAGAACAAAATAATTGTCTGTACAAAAACCTGACTACAATTAATTATTCAAGAATGTCTAAGTTATTTACAGGGTGAAATCGTCTTACGATGCAATAGAAAATGGGCTTACAAGAATAGACACTGTTAAAATAATTAACCAAAAGTTGCTTGCCATAGATTAATATGTATCTGAATATAACTCATTGTCGGAATATACAAAGACTTTAAATCTGGCGTTTTTATTAATCAATTATTTGGCAAAAAATAGTTCTCCGGGTGGATGGACAGATAAGCAGATAACATCCATTAGATTACAAAGAAAAGGTGAGAAAAATATTAGCTTCATTAACTTTAAACCCGACATTACCAATTTACGATGCAGATTAAAAAACGAGGCACTATTTTATCTATGAATTTTTAATTTATTTATATCCAATGCCTACAAAAGTAGTTTAATAACTGCGCAACATAATGGACATTCGCTTTATAACCAAAAGTGTAAAAAGCCGCAAAGAATTATACAAATAAAACGTTAATAGCACTGTAAATAGCAATCAGGTAGGAACGTTAATGCAATTTCGTTGATTACAGTTTTGCAGCTTTGGATAAAACTGCCTTTTTGTGTTATTAATGGCTAATTACCAATTAAGATGCAAATTCCTAGTTCCGCCATTTTTCCGTCATGTATTATATTTTTGAGCCGATTGAAAAAGTGATGTTGCCCCTTTTACGAAAACGAATTTTAAAGAGCTGTTTAATCTATTGTCAGGTACACTGTTTCGAAATATCAGACTCATAAAATCTCCGTAATATGTCTCGAAAATGCAGGAATGCAGTCCGGGTCTCACCACCAAAAACACCAGTAGTACCTCGTCGGCATCTCTCTCTATCAAGCATCTTCCTCTAATTAGCGCAAACATCACCACACCAATGGTGGCACCGGAATACCAGTGGTAAAACGACTCATTTTAAAAACTTAATCAATAGCCGGTACCACATTCCGGCTCGCTCTGTAGGTACCACCTTCGTTAGGACGAATTTCCCGTGCAGTCGAAACGGCTTCCAGTCTTCACGGGTGCAGCAACTTGGCCTTTATGGCCAATGCTGTTTAGGACTACACGAGCGGTAGGCAGTACCGAACAGAACCCCTTGAGGGGCGAGGAGGACGCGGTGGTACCGTGTTGTAGCGACTTCTTAAGTGAACCATTGAACTACCATTTGTGGATAGGCACAGAAGCTTTTTAGAGCTAAGATCAGTAGTTTTGTAGCTCTCGCTGGTAGAAGAATTATATAGTTTTGAGCATAGTTTTGACTCTTCGTCTGTGTGTTGAGAAGTTTTGAACTTTTTTCCAGTATATCACTGCCAACAGTATCCAGTTAGTTGATGGTAAGTGTTAGCATTTATGTTGTTTAACATGTGATTATTTTTTTGATTGCAACTTTTGAGTCGGTAAACTATAACCCCAGGTGAATCGTTAGAGTGTTTTTCCATAGTTTACCCTATAAAGGCCATTCTATATAACATATCAAATATATCCGTGCGTTTGCTGTACTAAAATAGAACTACATAAGTACCTTAATGTATTGACTCGGCGATTATTGCGATTTACATCATTTCAAGTACGTAGATTTTGGGTAGTTCATTTTTTTAAACCCTTATTGAAACATGACAATAATGATTTTAAAGTTTATAGCAATTAAATTTGACAAGAAAACTAAATAATTCCAGTAAAAGGCCATTTCTTGGAGGAGCAATAATTTAAAATAAAGATTTGAGCGTCAACTTAAAGTCATTATAAGTATAAAAAAATCAGTCCAATCGGCTTAGAACAAGCTTGAGAGCTGGATAATTCGATGGAGTTTTGTGACCAACTAATAAGCAATTAATAAAATCACATTGGTCGTCAAAAGCTGAATTTTATAAACGAAGGAAAACCTCAAATAGTGCATACTTTGAATTTTATGTTATTACTTAGATCTCACAAGTTACTGACTGAAAATCATCAATTATAACTATTCCTTATTCACCACTTAGACTTAATGTATGTAAATGCATTACATAAATATTTTAATCTGTCGCTTTAGAAATATAATTCAGCCGTAGGATTCCACTTAAAGCCGTTCGAACAGGGTAAATGAGTACATTGATTAAATAGCATGGAAAAGAACCATCAAAATTAGATATAGTTTTGATGAAGTCCATTCTAAACTTCTAAAATTTTTGTTGCAAAATCAACAGTGCCTTAAAATTAGTGGAATCAGTAAAGTTCTCCTGGATACCAGGATGACTTTTCGGGAATTTTTTCGGTTCAAAGGGAATTGTGAAAATTAGTATTTCGTATTTTGACTATTAAAATATTGTAATATGGAGCTGAAAAGTTTAGACTGTGATAGATAGGGTGTTAAAGTTTCYAGAAAATGTTGGTATYTTCTCTTTAATTCCTACAGTTTATGAGATATTTTTCTCWAATTTTTAACGTAGGTTAMTGTTGCCTAATAATGCTATTCTATCGGGAAATWCTATTGTCCGACAGCCTAAAAGCCCGAAAAAYACAAGATTATGTTTTTAGTTCGAGGSATTTGCGAAAAAGCAACAAGTTRTTCGGGATATTTTGAAATRCAATAAGATAATTTTGGATGWATGRCTAATAATTGCATAATRCACACAACATACAAAGTTATCCAGTTTTTTTGAGCGAATGAATAAAAAATGTTCTGTGATTTATTTAAAACATAAAATATATTTTTTTACAAGAATTTCATTAAATTTGTTCTCTTCGATACCTCGCGCTGTAGGTATTAGGCGTTTTTAGAAATTTTGAGATTATTGACAGGAACATGTGGTAATTATGGGTGCGGCGTTTGGGAGATTTTAAGAATGAACGAGATCTGACCATTGACAAATTTCACATGGTTGTAAATATACTGTCAACTATGAAGATAGTCTGCATAAACGAAATTTAATTATTGTTTTTGCAGTATTTTCTTGCCTTTTTTCTAATTCGATTCCACCTAATGGGCTTTCTTTTCTTGTGAAATAATGGAAAAGGCACTTTTTCTTCACCTTTTTAAACCTTCACATGTTTAAAAAGAATAACAAAAAAGTGACCATAACACTCGGCTCAATTGATGATCTAAAAGTGAAATCCATTAAACTGTTGATTGCGGAAGTGAATCCCAATAAAAAAAAAGTTGAAATATTTAGTTAAAAAAATTATTAAGTAAGTTTTAGGAGAATTTAAGACCGAACATACTTTTTAAAGGCGGACATCGCGATTTGCTCAGTGCTCCTCATTATTTTAATTAGTATCAAGCACTATTTTAATTTAACTTTCCCATTTTTTTCATATATAGTTATGGTTTCGTGACACTGAAAATAATTGAAACATTTAGTAGCTTTGACCAAAATTAAATGGTGAATTTGTAAAGTTTCATCATCTTTGATTGCCCTGAAGGTGAACCAATTCCTGTCTTATATTTTTTTTAATTTTCGTGATGTCTCGCCATACAATTTTTGATAAAAGTTCGGAATATAAAGTACGCAAATGTTTACCACTTGTTTCAACAAGCATGTAACATTTCTAAATCAGATTCAAGCCGTTAAAAAACGCAAAAAAAATGCTAAACAACTGGCAAAGAAAGATATTACGACATACTTTCCAACCCAGTTCAAGCGCGCTTAATCCTGAGGTGTAACACGGTAGCGACTCGCTAAGCTGCTTTTCGTTCCCTCCATCTGAACCAACCAACCAACTTTCGTCTTTGTCAGTCGCGTAAGACTGTCGCGGACTTTGTTTCTGTCTCGCACTCGACCATTCTTGGAAATTCCAAAAGCTCGAGGTAACAAAGAGGCGTGTAACACCAGTAGTGCAAAGGCGTAAGCTTTCGGGCTTTGAACGGTTCGAAAACAGGTGCTGATGATCGAAACCGCAAGGGATATTTAGATTATTTGGGGATTTATTTTCAATTTTGCCGTCAGATGAAGAGGATTCAAAAGCCATATTTAGCTCTTCAATATATCGGAATTAGCTGATTTTGGTTTATCGCCAAATATTTGCTCTACACCCTTTGCAATACTTAGGTTGCCGCATTAATTACTAGGTTGTGTCTAGTTCTGTTTTCTTGCATATTTTAAACACATTTTATTCTACATATATTAAAATTGCTCGTTTTTATATCAATGATAACATAATGCAGCTGCGCTTATCAACAAATGGTCCAACGTTGAAGCTGAATAAACTTAGTGTAAGCCATCAATAGGTAATCAGTGATTTCTTATTTATTTATCACTTTCTGCTAGGTGATCATTTCGGAAATACTTCTGCGTTTAATTTAATATAAAAAACAGTATTTAACATTTCCAATTTTTTGCAACTGTAATGTTTAAAGTTTGTTTGATATATGTTACAGGAAATGTGCCTGTGTAATTGTGCTAATGGCATACAGCATCTTGTAATGGCTTTTAAATATAATTATGAACGGTTTGAGCTTTGAAGCAATGTCGGAGTACATACGTGACTTCCCAGGTGAATACTTAATTAATTACAAGATGATTTAATGGTCTCGGCTGCCATTAGACTGAGCGAAAGTAAAAAATTAACAAATTACTGTGCTAAAACTAAAAATAGCTGGCTTCAAGTGAACTGAAGTTAATTTACTTAGAAATGATCGAATATTTTGTATATACTGTCTTGCCGCACCTTCAGACGAGACGAATCAGATTGTACAATAAGTTGGAATACTTGGTTTCTTCATATGGAATGCGGTGCTTAATCAAACTGTTGACAGCATTCAAATTACATTCTGTATAAAAATGCATACTGTTTAAAGTGAGCATGTAATTTAATAATTGTTGATTTACACATGTGCGATTTGGAGAATTTACTTTTCAGTTAATAGCATACTTATATCCGACGCTTGATGAATATATTCCCATGTGTATATTAAGTTTCTAATCCCTATTCACTTATCACGGCTTAACAGCTATAATAAAGATCATCCGGGCCGGCCCAAGCTGTCAAAGACACATAAAGTGCACTAATAAAGCTGATAAGTTTCGAGGTTTACAATTATTTGAGATGTAGTAAGTTTACAATTACGTAAGACTTTAATTTTTTCCAAAAATCTGACTTATCACGAATCCATCAGGTGACACGTTACAACCAGTTGTAAATTACTTACGTTGTTCTTTTGTCTATGTGTTCTGCATTCAGATGTTTGTTTAAGATAATACCAGACTTTTGCTTTTTCCGACGGTATGTATTCAAGCTTTATTTTTGGGTCCTGTAAATATTTGCCCACTGATAATCTTCTTTCATAAGCACATACGAGGTCTTGCTGGAATGCCAGAAATCTTATTGTTTGACTTTGAGTTACATGACAATTTTATTCTTTGGCAAATAGTCGAGTCTGATGACCACATATTATGGGGAATTCACCGATCGTTCGACATGCAATACTCATTAATGAGTTGCACGAAAATTATTTCATTGGATACCTTTTAGTAAATGTTTTTGATATTTAAAGCTTCTTTATTGCGTCCCACTAGTGTCTCGGAATGAATGGTGCAGAGTCACAACAGGCTATTTTAATATTTCGATATTCGGTTTATTTTTATCTCACACAGCAATTATAAAACTTTACTTCTCCCATTCTGGTAAAAATCAGATTTTACATTTACCAAAGCGTCAATTATATTAGAAATCCTCTACTTTGAAGCAACTGTTTCATTTAATTGAAATTTCCACGGGACAGCGCCTGCTGCTTAAGATGCAAAGCTTATCTTTTTCCAAATTTGTTTGTCAGACAATGAATAACCTAACTAAAATTGAAAAATGAAGTTTTGGTGGACAGTCCATTAATGTTAGCCCTTCAAAAGAATGCTCTAAAAATCGGTTTATAAGGTTTGTCATCTCTTGCGAACAATCCGACTGACTTTACTGCTTTCTTCTACCGAATTTACATGAAATTTGCTTCGAGTGAGACATAATTTTCATGTTTATTTAAAAACACTTGCAATAATCGACTAATTTTAGGTTTAAGGAACTGAAAGTAACGTTTTTGGTAACATCTTTTTGTTAATAGTTTTTCTTATTCTTTGAATCTGAATCATTCTTCATTAAAGAGGTGAATAAATTGTTTTTCTGTGTGTTTCTGTTCTAGCTGGTGTCTTGTTCATTTTCAAAAGCAATGTACCAGTGACTAAATTGTGCTGATTTTCCATCGATAAGTTAATTAACTTTATATTTTAGCACTGAACATGTTTTATCAACTGGGATATGTAAGACGACCACCTAATTATTTTTTGAAAGCAAAATGTAGACTATTATATTTCAAATAAACATATTCAGTTAAATATGTACAACAAGATACATTTATTTTGTGTGG